ACTCCCCCCACCCCCACCCCCGGGCCATGAGGAGTTGTTAGAGTTGCTCCAGTCCTTTGGAGACCCTGGTTATTTTTGCCCACTGCTGGAAGGAAATATCAGCTATTGGGCAAATAGATGGAGTCACTTGTCAGAGGATTGGTCCGTTGTTATGCAAATAGGATCCATAAAACCCACCCCAGAGCACTGGGCCATTTGCTTAGATAAGTAATCATTCCCTGGAGATGAAGGGAACCTCCCTATCATCGAGAAGAGCCAGGAGGGAGTTCGTCCTTGGACCCAAAGTGCCTACACTGAGAACCTCCCAGACCTAGGGGACCAGGTGGTTGCAGTAGTCCAGTGGTGGCACCAGAGCCAGGAGACCAGTATAAGATAACATGGCGGGTGGCACGGCCCGTAGAGCAATAGAGCCTCTGGGTGAAGGTTTATTGGCAGAGTGGGGTCCCTCCAGGCCTTTGTTGGAGGAATTTAAAAAGCTGTAACTCTTGCCAAGCAGGGCAGGGGGCCAGCAAAGGCCTGTCATGGGGTGGAGGGGAGGCCTGCACCGCCAAGGAGGGTGTTTGTGGCAGAGAGAACTGCCTGCTTGCTTGCACCCCTGACAGAAGCACAGAGAATTGGCTACATGTTTCCTGATCCTGTAGCTTCTGATTCAGGGTCAGTTATCCGTCTAATAAAGCATGCAGTGGCGAGTCTGCACTCGGAGTTCTGCGTGGCCGTTGTATCAAACTCTTGAGCCCAGCAGAGAAGTAGAGCGCGCCCTGAGGAGGGGGGCTGGTGTCTGAAACGGGGAGAGAGTTGAAGACTGGCAGCAGATCTGATCTGCACCTCGCCGGAATCAACTTTGGGCTGATGCTGATACTGGTGTGATGTCAATGCTTATCTACACTGAAGTTAGAGAAGATGCCACCCTACGGCTGCCACCCTATACCTCCTGTAGCACCCACCCACGTGATCAACCCACTCCCATCTTTAGTAAGTATCTGCGGGCAAAGCCATCTCCTCCACCCGACTTCTGGCAGACAGGGGCCAAGTTCTTTTTCTCTCTGGGTTCCAAGAACAGTGCTCGCCACAGAGTCATGGGCTATTGGCCTAAATCATGGTGAAGGCCATTAAAGGAGCTGTCTTAGCTTGGCCACCCAGTTTTCCCACTTTGGAGACACGGAGAGAGCCTGATCAGAACAATAGGCTGGTCTATAGTTGGTACAACAGCACCAAGGAGGAGCACACGCATGAAAAATAACCAGCCATTTGAGGTCAAAGGGCAAAGTTCAGAAGGGTTAAAAAGGAGGAGGCATGGAAACAGGAAACTCAAGGAGAAGGTGGAGTAAGTGTTGTTATAGCGTGAGGATTGCAGTCAAGGACATGAAGCCAAGGGTGTATGCATCCTGGATTGGAAACGGATGTGCTCTGTAAACCGTCGTAAATTCAATTGACAATAAAACCGGGTTTTGTTTTGTTTTTCATGATGGGAGGAAGACAGAGAGCCATTAGGGGGACAGAAAGACAATGGCCAACACACTGAACATCTCTCAGACTCAGTTTACCCTTCTGGAAAATGAAGATAAGGATGCCTATCCCCTACTTTGTGTGTGAGGATCAAACGGGAGGACAATTGGTGCTCTGGTGAGAGGGGGCAGGAAGCACACTGTTTGACATCAAGACGTGCGTGTTCATGTGATCAACAATGACTGCTAAGAGTCTTAGATTAATAACATGCTTCAGTGGTGGCGGTCCTTGGTAGTGCAGCGGTTAAGCACTCCAGTGCTAACAGAAAATTTGCTGCTTCAACCCTACCAGCTGCTGGGCAGGAGAAAGCTGGGGCAGCCCCCCTTCTGCAGAGGTCCCAGCCTCGGCAGTTCTACTCCGTCCTTGTGAGGTCCCTGTGAGTCAGAAGTGTCTTGTGGGCAATTGTTCATTTCTGCTTCGTTGGGGGAACTCACCCTTTCCTTTTCTCTAGAATTGCCTGCTTCTGCCCTGCCCCAGATCCATGACCTATCTGCTCAAAGACGTGAGTCAGTTCCCATCTCCCTAACTCCCGGTCTCAGCCATTATGATGACCCCAAAAGGTCCTTCCAGAAACCTGGCCCACACCCTTGCTCTTTGCACCCTGCCTCTCTCCTCCTCATGCGCCCTCAGCGCATAATCCCAAGTATGGATCGTAAAGAGACTCAGGCAGGTTACAGAGCTAATCGCTCTGAATGGATAGCCCAACGCCACGACTCAGATCAGGCCATGAGACTGAGTAGGGATTTCCCCAGGAGAACGCAGGAGACCTGAGCAATGGAGAAAGGGAAGTCCCAGACTGGGGTGAGGGAGTCGAGGAAATAAGGAGCGATGAGAATGATGAGGGCAACAAATGTACAAATGTACAAATGTGCTTGACACAGTGGATGTATGTATAGATTGTGATAAGAGTTGTATGAGCCCCCAATAAAATGACTGAAAAATAATAATAAGGAGAGATGGAGGTCAGAGAGCAACGAGGACTTCCCAACACCCAAACACACAGCGTGTCACAAAGGTTGGCTACAACCACCAGCTTCAGCTAGCTGCCTGGCTTCCAGGGGGAGGGACAACGGCTTACGCTTTCCATGACGTGGGTGCGCTGCTGGGGCTCAGGCTGTGGGTGAGGCGACACTTCCTGCCCCCGGGGCCCAGGGCTGCTGGGTGCACACTTTTCCAGGACGCAGGCACACACCAGGCGCGGAGGGCTCAGAGGGCTGCCCAAATGGAGGTCCCGTTGCCTCAGATAAGTCCCCAAGGTAAGTGCAAAGTGTAAGCATGTGGGAGGACTCCTCATCAGCCCTGTCCTCTCTCCTGGGCTTGAGCTCCCACTCCAGGGCTGAGAGCCCCTACCCCAAGCCAGAGCAGACAAGGCTGACTGGCGGGGCACCCACAGTCCCCCCTCCCTCTGGGGTTCTATGTCCACTCTCCACTGTGGACAAAGGTGGCGAGGGTGGGTTGAGGGGTGGGTTGCTGCCCATACTTCTTAGAGAGGAGGGAGCCAGCAGGGGAAGCAGGGTGGGAGGTGGAGTTTCGTGGGCCAGAAGGCACCTGCTCCTTGATGGTGGGACTTCCGGGCCACCAGGAGGCTAGCTCAGTTCCAAGGCACTCCTTCCTGGCACTCAGCTGTCTTTCAGAGCCCCTCCTTGCCTCCTCCCTCCCTCCTCATCCCTGAGAAACCTCCCTGCTGTCCCTGCTGCATCTCTCCTGCTTTCTGGGCCCAGGGGGAAGGGGAAAGGAAGGAGGGGAGAGGGAGAGGCATCCCCTCCCTGAGAAGCCTCAGCTGTCCTTTTCTATGGACAGGGAATCGCCAAACGCCCAGCCCAACCTTCAGCACCTTCCTGCCCACAGACCTGTCTGGCGGGGGCAGTCAGGGCCCCGAGCTGCCCCTGAAACCCAGACCCCAGGCCCTGGAACCTGAGGAGGCCCAGGGCAGCCCCACGGCTGTGGCCACCCAGGCTTCGGTGAGTAGGAACTTGGGGGTGCAGCCTCCTCCTCTGCTCTCACCGTCCCACGGGTGAAGGCTTGCAGACAGTGGGAAGCAAGACAGGAGTGAGCTGTAGCTGTGGATGCGGCCAGGGGCGCCAAGGGAGGGAAAGGAGAGAGGGAGCTGAGCTGGCCCCTCTCCCACACACTGCTGACCTTGAACTTGGAACCCTTTTTTGATCATGGAGCTCATGAGTTCACTAAAAGGTTACATCAGCCCGGAACGTGCAGACAGGGACCCCCGAAGTCTGAGGGGTGAACTTGTAACCTCCTGATGAGCAGGAGAGTTCAATGCCTGCCTGACCCACCCAGGGACTCCCCTGTGTCCTCCCCTTCCTCTCAGCGTCCTCCCCCTGCTCGGGCAGCCCTCCCTCCTCCTAACCTCTGGCTCAGCCACATTATCTCCCAGCATCCCCCAGCCCAGAGAAGGGCCATCAGTGCTGCCTGTCTTGCCCACACAAACACACAACCGGACAGTGTGCTGCTCTTGTTCAAGGTCCTCGTGACCGAAGGGAAGTGGGGAGGTATCTTGGAAACCAGGGCTTGGAGCCAACTCTTTCAGGATTGTTCATTGCAGACACGGTGAGATGCGGAGAGACTCAAGATTTTCAAAATACGAATGTACGGGAACCATCATCGGGGCAGGACAGGAAAAACGAGGGGCTGAAGGCCTGGGACAGGAGACACAGAAGAGGCAGAGCGAGCTCTTTCTGAGCCCACCGTCTCGGGGAGACTGGCTTCTTGCCAGGACTGTGGAGAGTGGCGCCCATTCAAAGTGGCAGCCGTCTGAGCCGGACACTATTGTTTCCTTCTATGCTGATCACGAGACTCAGTTGCTATGCAATGCATACCCCATCCTTGTTTTCTAAGAGGGAGAGGACATCTCCAGCAAGGTGTCTGCCTATAGTTTTTCCCAATCTGGTTATCATTCTGGTGCACCCACATCTCACAGATTTGGGCCTATTTCTGTCTCGTGTCATTAGCCATGACCGCACTGGGAAGCACCAGTTTGAAGCCCTGCTGGAAACCAAACTAATTAGAGCTGAAGACAGACTGTAAGTCCTTGGGAAGGACTTGCTTGGCCACTAGATCCTAAAATAGGCAACCAGCCAGGGTAGGGAGCGTCCTCCCTTCCCCATGCCCAGAAAGGGCTGGGGATTGGGAAGAGAGGGGAAGGCTGTTAATCATGACCGCTTCTGCCACCTTGGGCTGTCCCCCTAGGAGGCATCTCTCCAGGCCCTGGGGGCTGTCTCCAGTCCAGATGGTGCAGCAAAGGCTGAGGAGGTGCCTGGGGAAGGAGGCCTGGCCCTGCAGGCCGAGATCCGGGCTTGGTTTCAAAAGACCCAGGCCCATTGGCTCTTGCAGCACGCGGCAGCCCCTGCCTGGTTCCACGGCTTCATCACCCGGAGGTGAGTCACAGAGGGCCTGGGGTCCTCGCCAGTCAGGTCACAACTCCTGCCTCCCAGGCCACTTAGGCCTCTCGCAGTGGCTGGCATTGCCCGGTAGGCTCCACTCTCCTCCTCCTTTAAGGCCTCCAGCCCCTCACTATGGCGCGCCCCTCTCCTCATGCCATCTCGCCCTCTCCTTCCGGGCCTCCCCTCTCTCTTCCCCAGTCTTCTTTCTCCCTCTCTTTCTCAGCCTCACTGCTTCGGTCCTTGATTCGCCCCTCAGTCCCTTTTGAAACCTGGAAGCCTAATTCCCATTCAAGTTGCTGCAGCCCCAGCCCTTGCAGGCTGCCTGTTCAGGAAGAGAGCGGGTTGGATGCAGACCTGCAGAACGTCCCGTGTCCTGAGTGGGCCCCTGGCCCCTGGCCACGCCGAGTCCCCGGGTGGGTGGAAGCTCAGCGCTCACGTCCTCTCTGCCCCCATCTCCATTCTAGTCATTTAGGCACAGTCGGGAGGCAGGCGACAGTCCCTCAGGGGTCCAGGGAGACCTGAGAGAGCTAGTGTGTGCGGGGGTGGGGGTGGGGGTCCGAGAGGCCTGGAGAGTCGGGGAGGGTTCGATCTCGTCTCTCCACGGCCCACAGGGAGGCTGAGAGACTGCTGGAGGCCAAGCCTCAGGGATGCTTCTTGGTGCGGTTCAGCGAGAGCGCCATCACCTTCGTGCTGACTTACAGGTGCAGCCTGGAGGACGTGGGGGCGGGGCGAGGGGCGGCCTTTCGCATCGCCCACTAGAGAGGGTGCGATGGAGCGAGCGTGAGCCAGGGGAAGAACGACTCCGAATGCCCCCTCCAGGAGCCAGACTCGCTGCCGTCACTTCTTGCTGGCGCAGCTCCCGGACGGGCGCCACGTGGTACTGGGCGAGGACAGTGCCCACACGCGGCTGCAGGACCTGCTGCGACACTACACGGCATGCCCCCTCAGCCCCTACGGAGAAAAGCTCACCGAACCCTGTGCTCGCCAGGTACCCTGCGCCCCCCTCCCCGAACCCTGACCCAAGACCCCCAGGGGCTTGGGCCAGCGCCCTCCCCCACCCAGACCGGGCCTAGGCCCAGGGACTATGGCACCCGGTGCTTCTTTGCCCGGGGAGGACCCAGCCGCGACTCCCTGACCGCAGCCTTCTCCTTGGGAAGCCCTTGGAGAAAGATGAGTGGTGGGGGTGGGGGCTTCTTGAGACAGCAGCCCAGCCACACAGGGAACACGAACAGGAGGGGTCCCCTAAAAATGGCACTTAGAGATCGTACTATGGTCCTACGCCGACCAGTGCACAAGACAAGTGGGTCTCAAATTCACAAAGCTAACTTTCCAGCGGCAAAAATAGACAAGATACGGGAGTCAGGTGGCGCTGTGTGTGGTTAGAGGGGAAATTCAAAGTGGGGTCTCCCTCAGGAGGGTCACCTACGGCTCTGGGGGGCCCGCCGTGCTTGGGAGAACGTCAGTGGACCATGGTAACAAACCAAGTCTGCCCCACAGAAACGAACGGGCTTCCCGGCCATCATCCTCACAGAAGCAGATGGTTTGAGTCTCCCTCTGAGCTGCTGGTGGCTTTGAACCGCTGACCTCTGGGTCGCTTTGGAGCACTTTAACCGCTGTGCCAGCAGGGCTTCCAGCAGGGAACAAAACTGCCTGCACAGAGCTTACATTCTAGTGGAAGAACAATGAACACACTGGCACCCGGGGTGATGAGTAAGCGAAGGGCCAGCAGCGAGTGCCGGCAGTGCCCGGAGTAGGGCTTTGCTACAGAGGGACAGCAAATGCAAAGACCCCGACAGAGGAGGATGCTGGATGTGTCTGACTAGCAGTCAAAGTCACAGGAAAACCATAGGGGTGACTCAGAGTGGGGAAGTAGGAGGCTCATCGGAGAGGTGGTGGAAGGGGCTGTGCAGACGGATTCTGAATGAGATGAAATGGCACAGAGAGTTACAAGTTAAGGAGTGTTGTGACCTGACGTGTTTGGAAGGAGCTTGCCAAATAGCTCTCCAAACTCTCCAAAAGTCAAACTCACTGCCAGAGAGTAGAATCCAATGCATATCCACCCTCTAGGATAGGGCAGAGCTGCCCCTGTGGGTTTCCAAAGCTGTCACTCTTTACAGGCGCAGAAAGCCTCCTCTTTCTCCCTCGGAGCGGCTGGTGGGTTCAAACTGCTGACCTTGTGGTCAGCAGCCCCACTCGATCCACTGTACCACCACGCTCCTGACTAGATGCTGTTTCTGCTTGCTGTTTATGGAAAGGCCGGTGGTGGGGTTAGTGTCTTTGCTCTCTATTGATGATCAGATGGCATGAGAGTGGGTAATGACCTTCACCCAGTAGGTGTGGCTGCAGGAAGTATGGATGTGTCTGGGGCCTGTGGGCACTGTCTCCCATTGGGTGGGGCAAGAAGAAAGAAATGAAACAAAACAAAACATAAATAATTTATTTCCTTGCAAGCAGAGTAAACCAGGCAAACAACAGGGAAAAAGAGAGAAAGAAAGAAAAGAATTTAATAACGAAAACGGATAGTGAAAACAAAGATGGAGAAACAAGGCAACAAGCAAAAGTAAAAACTCCCTCACTGCCATCCAGTCCATGCCGCCTCACAGCGGCCCTACAGGACAGGGTAGAGCTGCCCCGTGGGTTCCCAGACTGTGATTCGTCACAGGAGGAGAAAGTCTTTCTCCCTCAGAGAGGCTGGGGCTTTCGAACCACTGACCTTGCAGGTTCACAGCCCAGTGCATAACCACTAAGCCACCGGGGCATCTAGCAAAAGTAAGGAGGGGGAAGAGTAAAGAAAAGGCTAAGAAACAAGGGAAGGGATCAAAGCAAGAAGACACAGAGGAAAGCGTAGAAAAGGATAAAACAACAACGACAAAGGAAGGGAGAGAAAAAGAAACCAAGAGAAGAAAGGAGAAGGGGGGAGGGGGAGACAACGCCCAGTACTGGTTAGCACCCAGAGCTACTGGTTAGCTACAGAGCTCGTGGGTGGGCTGGGAGAGGGTGAGGCACAGGTCTTGGATGGGGTTCTTGGGGCAGGGCACTTGATCCAGAAGTAGTTCAGGCTGCCTCAGAGGGTGCTCGTTCCCAAAAGGAATTCTCTGGGGCTCAGGCTTCTTGGGAGTGCGGGGTTGTGATGGAAGGAGTTCTTGCCTGGCCACGGTGGGCCAGGGACCTGACGTGGCATGTGCGGTGGTCTGAAGCCCCTCCCATTGTGAAAGTGTTGCTCCATCTACTCAGTCCATGAAGGTGCAGCTTCAGCCGGGGGTTGTGCAATAGTGCGAGGGGGGAGAGGGGGTAACACTGGCCACTGAATGGGCCAGATTGGAGCTGTCCATGCTTCTGGTCACCAGGAGGGTGTAGGGAACAAGAGAAGTTCCCACCTTTCTCATCCACAGCTCTGGGGTGCCAGGCCACTATCAGGATGGGATTGGATGCTGCTTGTACCACATCGGCTAGTCAACAGTTCGTCCTTTGTTCTCTTCTCTCTCTCTCTCTCTCTCTCTCTCTCTTTCTCTCTCTCTTGTTGCTTTATGCCTCTTTTCCTGGTTGGCAGTCTTTTTCTTTGAAACTCAGAGCTCTAGGATGACCATCAGGGTCTGTCTCATTAAGGCTCTCATGTCTTGGAAGTAGAGAGTCTGTGAAGAGTGTCTGCCTAATTCACCATCTTGCCCAAAGTCCCCTACAGTGCTATTTTAGCAGCAGAGTGGAGATGCAACTTTTAGTCATAAAGGAAATGTCCAAACAGCAGGACAAAAGAATTATTCTGAGGGGGGCCCACACTTGGTCCATTGCAGACGCACTCGGACAGTGCTGTGACTTGACCTCAAGCCCAACTACTACAGTTTACTGGGAGCAATGGACGTGTGATCAAAACTCACAAACCCAGGACCAAAAGCACACGTACCTGTGATGGCAGGGGGGCGGGGCGGGGCGGGGTGGGGTGTGTGTATGTGTTAGAATGGGTGATTTGAACTGTCATACAAAGAATTGATAGTCTGAAATGTAACACACACACACCATCTAATTCACAATCATTAAGATAAAGTAAAAGCCCATCTACTGTGGGAAGTAACTGCGGCTCCCCTGAAACTGCCACTGTGTCCTTACATTTGGCTTCTATCTGCACAAGGGGTCCTCAGGATTTAGGGGGCAAATGTACCCCCTTAGGTGCACACACAAGAAACCACATGTGCCATGACAGAGCAGGGGGCCGTCACTCACATGCAGCAGGCATCAGACACAGCTGTCAGTGCCAACAACAAAAAAGATCCTACTCCACACTGATGAGATTCTTTAGGTTAAAGACATCTACAGCCCGGTTGCGTTTTTTACAACCACAGGCACAAACGGAGACTGGCCTAGCCCTGCATTCCAGATGAAATCAAATGCCATAGCAGATAGGGCCTGTGCCCAGAGCTACCTCTCCCCGCCATCACCCCTGTCTCTTGGCCCTCTCCGTCTCCTGTTCCTAACCCAGGGAGCACCCACCCCCAACGTTCGGGGCCTCCCTCCTGCTCGCTCCTCCCCTGCTTGGCCCACTTGCCCGCACCCAGTCCCTCGTGCCCACTTCGTTCCCCGCAGACCCCCGAGCCAGCAGGACTTTGCTGGCGGACTGAAGACACGGACTCGGCCAGTAACCCCCAGGCCCGCAGCCCGCAGTACAGTGCAGTCCTCAAACACCGGCCGGCCCCCGCGCCAGCGCCCAAAGAAGCGGCTGCAGAGCCAAAGGAGGTACCTGGGCGGGGCCGCAGGGGAAGAGGCGGGGCCTGAGAGAGGGTGGGCGGGGCTGAGAAGTGGGGGCGGGGCTGTGCGGCGAGCCGGGTCCAGCGGGCTTTGACCCTGAAGCCCTGGGTCTCATCCCTTCTCTCCCAGCCGTCTCAGCCGCCCAGGCCCAAGCCTCCCCTCCCGGCCAAGCCTCAGCTGCCCCCTGAAGTCTACGCGAGCCCCGCTCCGAGACTCCGCCCCGCGCCGCCCCGCAAGCCCTCGCCCCCCATCTACAACGAGCCCGACGAGCCCATAGCCTTCTACGCCATGGGCCGGGGCAGCCCCGGCGAAGCCCCCAGCAACATTTATGCCGAGCTGGAGGCTCTCTCGGGGCGGGAGCAACCTCGGCCCGCCGGGGGGCACCCGGCCCTCCGCAAATGCCGGTCCCGGCCTGCCCCAGAGAGCCAGGTAAATGGGGGTCCAGGGAAAGCACCACGAAACGGAGCGCCTGAAAGCGGGGTTGGGGAGGACACGGGTCTTCTCCCCAGTGGGAAGGTCAGAGGCTTGAGGGGTGATGGGCAAGAAAGACCCACACCTGCTGGTCCCCCTCACCAATGTTACACTCACCAGACCCCTTCCTCTGAAGTCACACACACACCCCCATCTCTAAGCTCCCCTCAGGGCACCCCCTCCTACTTCCAAGACCACCCCCTCCTTCCAAGAGAACCTGGAAGCCCCAGGCACGCAGTTGCTCCATTGAGCTGACATAGTCCACGCCTCCACCCCAACTGCCCTCCCATCCCAGAGCCCCTCAAACTCAGCACTGCGAACATTGTTCCCATCCCTTTCCCCACAAAATGATGCCCCCCTCCCGTATGTCCTATCCTGACGCGCATAACTCTTCAGTCACCCAACGACTCAAACTGGAACCTAAGGGGGGGGGTCCCCCTCCATCTCCTCCCTCATCAACCACTAGCGCCTCCCGGCTCTCCGTCTGTGTAGTTTCCCTGTGCCGAGCGCCAGACCCGTCATCCCTCACCAGGGCTTACCTGAGAGCTTCATAACTGGCGTCCTCACCCCCAGCCCTGTGACTTCTGACCTCCTCCTTCCCGAGGAAGGCCGAGTTGTGTTTCTCAAACAGTTGCCTGGCCCTTGGAAGTGTGTATTTGGGGTGGGGGTTTGTCTGACCTCCTCAGCCTTCCCACAGCTACGCCCATCCTCCCAGCACTTTCCACGGGGCTCCCACACACCCAGGGCTCTCACGCTAGTTGGCACACACTAGTCCTCCACCTATAGTAGCTTCCTTTGAGCTCAGCTTCTAATCACCCTCAATGACAAGCACATACTTCTCTTCTGAAAAGACCTTCCTGACCTGACCACAGAGGGATTGTTTTGTACACACCTGAAACCCCCCAGGAGAGTATGAGCCCGCAGTAGAGTATGAGGGCAGGGGCTGGGACGGACTGCATTGGGGAAACATTTGTAGACCCCTCGCTAAGTTATCAGAAGTCTTGGCTTTGGAGGCTGCAGGTAGGTCTAAAGGCAGTGGGTGGAAGGTGTAATCCAGAGTTTGTCTTCCTCTCTCAGAATCCAGGTGGCCCAAAGCTGCATTCTGAGAACTCTGTGGCTGGACAGCCCCCTCCCTTGGCTCACCAGTCTGCACCTCCCGGAGGACACACCCTTCCCCACAATCTTTCTAGACAGGCGCTGCAGGACCGAGGACAGCCCTGGCCCTCCCTGGGGTCACCTCGGTAGCTGGTGAGTTTGAGCTGGAAGAGGGTAACATGCAGTGTCAGTCCAGGGACCTTCACACACAGGGGGGCACCCTTGTTGGCAATGTGGAAGGAACAAACTGCAGGTGATCAAAGCTGGAAAGGACCTCCGCTGTCATCTGTTGCAAGGATGGCAAAGAGGTGTCACCTTGCATGCCAACTCCAATCTATTGGTCATGGCTGCCTAGAGTGCTGCACTGGAAAAGCTGTGAAGGTCAAATCTGAACTCAGCAGAAAAGAGCATCGTGATTGATTAGTGATGTCTGCCATGGATGAGGGTGTGGGGAGGAGAATGAGCACATTTGCCCTTAGTAAGTCAGTCCTTCACTGTGCAGATAAGGAAATAAAGCCCAGAGCGGATGCCAAGGACTGGAACCCAGGCTGCCCGGATTGCCCTGCCCAGTGCTCTGTGCTTTACCCGATTCACTCTCTTTTCTACAGAAAACATCAGAGATTTTCTCAGAAAGGATGTCTGATGACTTTCCGGTCCTGGCCTAGTCCTGCCCCCCTGGCAGATCTGGGTAAACCCCAAGGGGACTGGAGGCCAGAAAGACACGTGTGAGGTCCACTTCCGGTCCTGGCCTAGTCCTGCCCCCCTGGCAGATCTGGGTAAATTACCCAAGGAGACTGGAAGCCAGAAAGACACCTGTGAGGTCCACTTCCTCTTGGTGACATACCCACTGGTTCCCTCTTGAGTCTCCAGTTCTTGCCAGCAGCTGGCAGTCCAATTAGATGGCCGGCGAGTGAGCTAGGAAGGCCCAGCTGGCTCCCCCGGCCCTGGGTGGTTTTCCCTCCTGGAGTCTCATTTCCTTGGCCCTCTGAGCCCTGGAGACTGGGCCCTGGTCCAGTGCTGCTGTTGTCTGAGGAATGTTTGGGTGAGAACAGATGTTAGAACTTGTTTGTTGATCTTTGTCTGGCTAATAAATCACCACCAACCACCTCTTCCCGCAGGGATCCAAGTCCTCCAGGCTCCTTCTGCCTCCAGGTCTGACTCACTCTCTCTCAGACTGTGGGAAGCACATGGTGGAACTGCAGTGAGGGGAAAGGGGTGGAGAGACCCCTGAATGCTGGCAGAAGCACAGATCTGTGGGTGGGAGCTGAGGGGTGTCGGTAGTGGGGGACCAAGGAGGGAAGTGGTTGAAATGGAGGCCCCTTCGCACCCACTCTGAGCACCAGCCTGCTGAAGGGACAGGAGCCTGTTAGCTGCGTAGGGTCCCCTGCAGGGACTCTTAAAACTCTCCTTAGACCCTGGGCTTCATTCCCATCCTTCTATGAGGCTGCCCTCATCTCTGCCCAGATCCCTCCAGGGGCAGCCTCGTCAGTCTCTGGTGTCTTATTTTCGCCTCAGATGGGGCATGAGTCAAAACTCTGCCCAGGGCTCAGAGAAGCTTGGGTACCAGCCCCCCATACCCACCTGTGCCCCTTCCCTGCAGCCTGCTCCTGCGTTCCCTCTCCTACCAATCAGTGTCTGACCATAGGATCCCTTTCCCTGCCAAGGGAGCCCCAGACTGCCTGAGGCCCAGAAATCCTCCAGCCCTTCTCCAACCTTGTTCCCTGAGCCTAGACACTGCCACACACCCATGCCCCACCTCCAGGCTGGCCCCGGCGCCAGCTCCTGTGATTAGCAAATCTCCTTCCTTTCCACTCCAGTGCTAATCAGCTTGAGGAGAAATGTGTTTGCTGAGTCAACAGTCGGGGTTCCAGTTCCTTCTGTCTGTAGTTCTAAAGGCCTTCTTGAGCGAAAGGGAAGGTGGGGAGGGGAGCAGATGGCTTCCCCAAATCAGGGAGACTCATCTTCTAAGGAAGAGCTCCCTGTTGACTCAGGGTGAATTCCTTGGGGTAGTGGGGAGGGCAGGAGGCAGAAAAGGAGACTGCTTACAATGCAGACAGAGAGACAGGGGGCAGAAAACACAGGCTGTGGAGGCGGGGGCCAGAAATGGCCCCAGCAGCCCACTGTTTGTGGAGGAGCAAAGGCAGCTAGCCCTCCCTGGGGCTCCAGACAGCCTGGGGTGGACCCACCGGAGGGAGGGTCAGGGGACCCAGATGCTGCCATGTCATGAGGGGCCCGAAAGGAGTTCTGCTGGTGGCACTTGCTAATGAGCAGTGCAACCCCTGGCAAGGGGCTCCTGTTAATTTCTAGGCTTCTGCCCCACACATGCTGCGTAGAGTGGAGGTGCAGCTACATGCTTTGCACCCAGGGCTGCGTGAGACCACAGGTGAAGGGCTGGGACTGTAGAAAGTGTTCGTCCTGACTAGTGTTTGTTTAACCGGAGGGGAAACAGGTCCAGAGAAGGCAGGCAACAAGCCCAGCTCTGGTCCCCCTGTTCAGGTTCTTCCTTCCACCATGGGGATCCCCTGCGGGCCACAACCCCAGCCCTTCCACAAGCTCCAGCTGCAGGCCCAGAGATGGGTTGCAGCAGCTCCCCAGTCAGAGGCCAATGCTAGGAGCTGGGGGGCACTTTCAGCTGGATCTTCTCATGGTCCTCCACCCTTCTTCCCGTGGCCTCCATGAAGGGCCTTCTTGGGTTCAGCCTCCTCTTAGGTGTGTAAAAGCCCCACCTTCACCCCCATGCCCACAGCACAGCACTACCTACCTGTTCAGCATCGTGGGCAGCCGCTCTGGGGCTGCGCTGTCTGCTCAGCTGATACCTTAGACCACCTGAGTAAGATGACCTACAAGTCTGGCTCAGGGGGCTTCCTGTCCACAGCTCCGCAGCGTATCAC